TTTTTTTTTATAGAAATTTAAATATCTTATTAGACCATAACAATAGCTGCTTTGATTTGCAATAACAATAGATTCCACAGAAAAGCCTCACATATAATAATTTGCTCAAAGTAATAGATACGGAAGTAATTTGATCAAATCAATAACAGTGAGTATTGTAAATAGTCACGAGCGGAATATAGAACTAAAAAGCGATATTGGTGTGGACGTGGAAATTTGTAATCATCGACGGTGATGACTCATACGGCGATAAGGTGATATTTGATCAGCCTCTTTAATAATCACGGTAGAATTCCACAAAGTGGCGGATTCATATGTCAATACTACTGCGAATGAAGGGGTCTGTCGGGATTGAAATTCTGCAATATAATAATAAATAACTGGATTGTTATACATGTATTTATCATGTCAAGTAAATTTTGGAATCAATTGCTTCTTATTTTTAACATATTCTATCAGACTGGAAGCATACGATCAGATCATTCATATAATATGACTACAAATCGTCATAGAATATTAAACGAATCGACGTTATATGTTAGGATGAGATTCAAAGCCCCGCCCCCCCCCCCCCCCCCCCCCCACTCAGTGTTATTTAGGGTACGCATATGCTCGTACCCTTTTTTTGAAATCACCCCCTATCTGAGGACTGCCAACATTTCCGAACCCCCCTTTCGCGGGCTTTTCGCGTGCTTTTCCTGCCTTGGAGACCCCCCTAAATCAGGAAAAATGCTCAATGTACCCCCCTTAATTCGGAATAATTTCTCAGGAGTCCAAAGAGATGAGAGAAAAAAAGAAAAACACCCCCTTTTTAAAGAAATCTCCGGGTGAAAAGTCAAATACACCCCTTTTTTTTACAATTCTCGGGCCGGACTTTGTAGCACGAAAAGTACCCCTTTACCGGACATTTTGGCAACACGCATGCGGTCATTCCGACCTCTGAGTGGGGGGGGGGGGGGCCGGGTTCAAAGCTAAGTACCAAATATTAAGAAAAAATGTTGAAAACAGAAACATATACAAAATTTATCCTCGAAAGAGCTGTGGATAGTCAAGAATATAGTCTACCTAAAGCAATATATAAATCTCAGAGGGATTGTCATAGGCATAACTGATAGACCTATACAGTGAGCGCTAATTGCATACGCAGTGAGACGCTTCTCCGTATTCAGCTGAGGAAATCGACACGTTCCAAGTAGAGAAAGTCGCACGGGAATTATTATACACATTCATTTTTCTGAGAAATAGATAAAGCAATGCAGATCGCTGTTCATTTCCAGGAAATTGTAGCAGACGGAGATGGCGCTCTTATAATAACGCGGAAAGGGAACTTAGTTCTCTATCTCAGTTGGCAATCAAAAATATCACCATTTGTCACAGTAGAGGGACGTTTGACTCTAGTTGTAAAAATAAACATGTGAAACAAATAAGTGAAATAAGGTTGATTAATACCGCAAGTATTCTAGAGCAACTTATGTTGTAGTCTCATAGGCGGATTTTACATATATTAGGACATTTTCAGTACCGGTAAATCTATTTTGTTAATACTTCCGACCTTATGCCAGGATTTGGTCAAGTTATGTTATGTAAAAACCATGTCAAACTGATTTATGTTTACGTTTCGATAAAAGCATAGTTATTGAAACTCCCTAATAAAAAAAGATAACATTTTGTTTTTGGGGAATTGCAGATCCGTCATACTTCCTTGTACCTTTCGTCATCTCCCCCTTCCTTTTCTCCCCTCTCTCTCTCTCTTTCTTTCTATCTCTATACCTCTTTCTCTCTCTCCCTCTCTACGAATATGACTCATTCTTTCTATCTCTCTATCTCTTTCTTAAAATATTTATTTCCATATTTCCAATCATCCCATCCTACCCTTTAATCTATCGTTTTGTCCTTGCATTTTTCTTTGGGTTTTTTTGTTATTGCACCTTGTGTAACAGCTAAATAAATAACCATGTTGTAAACATATAGCTTGTGGTTAGGCATGGAGAAAAAAAAAGATGATAAATCCCTTACACGAAGCAATTATTCATAATTGATATTCAATCTTCAAGGACAATCCTGATATTGGCACAGATATAATAACCATTTACGGCTGTAACGTAATGGTTTCCATGCCAACAGGGCATTGTGTTCAAATTAACGCAAGACCTAAATGATCATAGATCTCCATCATATAAATTATTACAGATGTCTATCTCAACAGTGACCTCATAAATATTCTCACCTATATTTATGCTGAGAAAAAAGAAAAGAAAAAAAAACCCACATTATCACAGATAGTCCTTGACCTTTGTTAAAGGGATCCGGTAACTTTGTCTTAGATCCTTTAGAAATAATCCTTGATTTAGCTCATGCTGCAATGATAATTATAAACCTTTAGGTCAGTCAGGAACTCCATGACTTTTACAAGCCGATCGCCTGTCTGATTATCAAGATATTAATGATTGGAATTACAAATTTTGAACCGCCGAACGGTTTTCATAACATTACAGTCTATTGGGGAAAACGAGTGTGGTAAACGCGGTCACTTAAAGATTTTTACTTTTTTGAGGCACTACTTAATCATTTTGAAGCACAATTTTTTTTAGGGCTTCAATATTAGTTACACCATATCACAGACACTGATAACATGTAGGACCGTGAATCTCAATTTTAACATTGTTAAACGATCCCTTTATTAAAACCATGAAAAATAAAATGTCCAGATGAAACGTTTTCTTGAATAAATCAATAGAATAAATATAATTGTCTGAAATGTTTTGAGTAGCAAGACAGCAAAGGAAAAACGAAGCAAAAAGTAAATTATTTGTATGAAAAAAAAGAAGAATATATTTGTATTTATATTTAAAATTATAAACATTATTGTGTTTATGTACAGTATCAGACAAATGGTAGTGAAATACAATGGAAATCAAGAGTCAAATTTCCCTTTTGATTCACTTAAATAATAATCAAATTTGTTGAAAAAATGAACAATTTGACCAACATTGCTTTAAAAGAAACTTGTGCATGATTCCATACCCTTATTTTTTTTATTTGAAAATAAGACATACAGATAGTTCCTGTAAATAGTTTCAGTTTATCGTTTTAATATTTCACATATTCTTAACATTTTGCAAAGATTTCACAAAGTAAATGGTACAACTAAATGTGGAATGTATCAACAGAGACATGAAAACCCAGAAAGTGAGTAACTCATATCAATTTCATTGAATGCATTAAATCAAAAGACTGAAGTAAATGGTGAAATATGAAGGGGTCTATGGTGAAAGTTATGATTGTAAGTTATAGGCCCAAAAGGGTACCGGTAGTTGATTTTATAATAGTCTTTGAAAATAGAGGGAACAAAAATGAATGTCAATCACAATAACAGAATTTGTGTTCCATTTAAAGCTTATCTGTACAAGTTTATAGGAGGGATTAGACCACCCTGCAAGGCCACTGGACAGGTGGTTATCTCATCAACTCAGCTCTTAATTAACATAAGCAAAAGAGGATCATGGGGGACCAATGGTCACTGATTAGGCATGGTTTTCTACATGTATATAGAGGGAACAAGTAGCTACAAGTCGGACAGTGCAGCTTTAAAGGCAATGTTAGAGTCACTTTCATTATAATAATGTAACAAATTTACATAACTTTACATAAATTTGCATTACATGTACAAACTTGTATTTTCTGTTTAAATTTGCATAAAAAAAAACATTATTTCATTAAGCTACCATATCTTGTCTTGTTGTCCCTCTAATTAAAAATCTAATGGGAGGTACATGTACCAGTAATACGAACAACAGAATAAACACAGCCAATGTGGGCTGGAAGCTGGAAAAAGAAAGAAATTACATTTTTTGTGTTAAATATAAAATATTATGAAAAATATTATTTATCTGAATTAAACTGCACTCATATCATCATGAAAAAAATTCATTGCTGACAGTCAATATAAAAAAACAAGGGTGAAAGAGCAATTTAGTTCCCATTTAAACAGAGTAAAATAAAGCTAAATATCGTCATTAAAAGAATATTTGTGAGTGACCGTTTTCTCCCACAGAATTTTGAAGGGCTCCAATGGCAAAAAAGAGAGGAGATTTTACAGAATTACAGTTGTACATATTCATGATGTTATCTAATCACAGCATCAGACTTTTTTTTTACAAAAATGCATAAAAATATAAATAATTCATCTGATTGCAATCTATATACATTGATAGACCTGCAATAAAGGGTGCTTTATGAAATTACACAATGCCTCACCAGAAGCTGTGCGTCATATAATTTGTTTCACATTGAGCATGGGTGTATAATCCAACACATCATTCGACAAGGCAGTAAGTACCATGTATTGTCAATGGTAGTAACGTCATTCTTGCGAGCAACAGACTATAGAGTGGTGAAGTGTGACGTCATCAAAAAACTATTTTTAGAATTTCTCAATTTGAACTTCATTTTCCGAAAGAGCATCAAAAATGATGTCCAAAGATCGAAAACCAATTGAATATGTTAAGTATTGGCTGAGATATGACCATCTGAAGAAATAGCATAACATTTAAACAAACCAGAGCAAAATAACACTGAGTTCCTATAGGAAATCTATTTATTCAGATGGTCATATCTCAGCCAATACTTAACATATATTCAATTGGTTTTCAACATTTGGATATAATTTTTGATGCTCTTTCGGAAAATGAAGTTCAAATTGAGAAATTCTAAAAATAGATTTTTATGATGTCACAGCTTCGGTACCCTGTATTTCCTTCTTGCAGTTCTCATTATGACTCACTATGAACATGACAGACAAAGAAAGCAGACAAAATATACAGTTCCTCAGGTAGACAAAGGAACATCCCTTCACTGCTATTATGTAAAAAGGTGAATATGCATGTGACACCCTGTTCTACACATTTTTACATAATAACAGTGAAGGGATGTTCCTTCGTCTACCTGAGGAACTGTATATTTTGTCCGCTTTCTTTGTCAGTCATATTCATAGTGACTGTATTTTGAGGTGTCATTTTTTCTTCTATTCTAAAAACGTTGTTTATCCACGGAAGCCTCATCAGCTTCAATGCTGTTCTTCCTGAGGGTCCTGCAATTATTGTTCTCCCCAGCGATTGCCAGCTACCCATCTACACCTGGGTAGAGAGTTGCAAATGTGGATTAATGTCTTGCCAAAGGACGTTAGTGCCGTACTGAGATTCAAACCCTCAACTCATAGGTTGAGAGTCAAGTGAATGAACCACTATACCACGGCACCTCTAATTCATGTCCAGTAATACATGTACATTCAGTGATGGAAACATTCGATCCCAGAAATCATTATCATCATCGACACCATCATCGTCTTGAGCTCCAACTCTACTGACCCTCGAGGGACAATTGGAACTGGCCAACGTCAAAATCTCCTGTTGTTTGTATCACTGATGGAATGAAAGTCTAGTCTAGACTGGACTCGTCTGTCATCTGTTCCAATCTTGGGCACCGAGAATCTTGGGTCTGAGTGTTGCCATGGTGATCAGTACAGCCTCCTGTGTGAAGAGAGTGAATATATGCATGAACGTGAGAATGAAGGCAATAGTGTTTAACTACATACAACTTCAAATTCAAGTTTATTGATACAAATCTACAAGGTCAGATTATACAAGTAGCATGGGGAACAAAATCCTCCCCCCCCCCCCCACAACAACGTACCCCTTACCATCAAATGAAGAAAAAAAGAGGAGAAAAGAATGGGAAAGAAAGGGAGTGTGAAGGCACAGTGACAATAAGATATAAATATATGAATATTTAAATAGATATATGAATAAATAAATAGATAGTTACATAGATAGTAAGATAAATAGATAAATGAATAAATAAATAAAGGGAGTGTGAAGGCACGCTGACAATAAGATGATACAACCCCCTACCCACACCCTCCCTTCATTCATTGGTCTGGGATGGTGTTTCATCTACTTAGTCAGTCTTAAATCAGCTAAATTGCTGGACCCATGCTATGTGACTTAACAAATAAATACATTTATTAATACATAAATAGATAGATATATAAATAGATACATAGATAGATATAAAGATAGATAGATAGATATAAAGATAGATAGATGGATAAATTAATTAATAAATAAACAAATGAATGAATGAATAATTAATCAAATAGATAAATGAATAAATAGATAGATTAATAAATAAATAAATATATGAATGAATAAATAAATAGGTAAATAGATAGATACATAGATAGATAGATAGATAAATAAATAAATAAATGAATGAATGAACGAACGAACGATTGGACGAACGGATGAATGAATGAAAGACTGGTAATCACCTCTGTTCTGATAGTTCTGCTTCCTTGGTCTGGGCATACATTAATGTAGTGATCAAATAAAACGCCGGGATCAGACACTAGCAATTCTTCATCCATCTCTAAGCTCAACTCAAGACCTTGGACACCACCAAAGATGATCAATGCATGTCTGGGGGAAAAAAGAATGCATTCAAGAGGTTTACTATAAGTTAAAGGGGGATAGTAGTCAGTTTCCATGTGCAGAAGGTCGTACAGCCATTTGCATAATTCAATAAATGCTCTGAAATTTTCAAGATGTGAAAAAAGAAAATACATGTATCTAAAAAAACAAAAGATAAGCTCTTGTCTTTCTGATTAGGCCTAAAATCTGTAACAAAATTTGAACACAACACTGATTTTCCACAATTTCAATACTAGCTGTCAATGATTTCACACCTTCCTTTTTATGACATTATTCTTACTTGAAGTGAGGTAGATCTACGTCGTCAGCTTTGGTTCCTCTTTCCGATGTACCGATGGTAAGATCGTATCCGTTGTCCGAGAATGGGCATCCCGTGAAAACAGCCCCCAAGCTGGATGCCAACCTAACAGAGTAGCCCCAGTACAACCCTGCCTCGAGGCGAGGGGCAGACGGCGATACCACTTTGCATGGAGCATGCTTGGTTGGAGTTCCTACATTGAATGATATATGATTTCATAATGTCTATTGTATATCAGGGCCCTGTTTCATAAAACTTGTTATCTATAACAAATGCTAAATTTCTACGACACATTTGTTCTCAGCCAATCAAATGCCACAAATTCAGTAGCTAATAACAGTTGTTGTAACATGTTATAGATAGCAATTTTTATGAAACAGGGCCTAGTTTTCACTCACAGAAGAATACAAAATATAGGTACTTTTGTATGTGTTAAAAGAAGGAAAGATCTGTGTCTGTCAGTGACCGGAAAGTCTACTTTCTCTTACTTTCCCTTCTCATCACTAATAAGTTCTATTACTATTCCTTTCCTCTGATAGAGGAATTATCAACTATTTGCTTGTATCACAATAAATTTTCAACACATCTGCTCGTAAGACAACTGCCATCAAGGAAGAAACATAGAGTCATCACTTTGAGACATGCAGAAAGTGGCTATTCACGTAGGCTACATAAACTAGCGGTAGCCCTGTATTATTTATGTTTCGACATTATTACAATGAGAGGGTCCTACATTTTTCGACTTATTATCCCTCTCACCCATACCTGCCAACCTGAGACAAGAGAAATTAGGAGTAAATTTTTCTGGATGGACTACGAGGTCGCGAACCACCGAAGGATTGGGGTAGTAGCCCGTAGATTGGGGGGGGGGGGGGGGTACACAGGACTTTAGGGTCTATTTTTTTTTCCATGTCGCTGTGTATATCTTCTATGAGCGCGAGCGCGGATGTCGGCGTGATCTTGTTATCAGTGCTGTGTTATGCTTTAGTCTTATACATACATAGACTACATACATATTGGTATTTATTGAGCACCTTTACATGGACATGCTCGAGGCGCTTTACATTTCAAAATACAAACATAATAGTTATATACTCTTCAAGTGCACTACACTCTTAAAAAAAAAAAAAAAAAAAAAAAAAAAAAAAATTAAATAAAAAAAAATCGGAGTTTTGAGGCATGCACTCGGAATTCGGAGTTGGTATGAAAAATGCGTAGGAACTCCGCCTAAATCGGGGTGGTTGGCAGGTATGCTCACCTCATACATCACACGATTACTCAAAAAGCAGCAAAATCTAAATGAAAAACAACTAAGACTTAACTGGTGGTTTACATAATCATGGATATTTATATGATGAACTATATTTAAGATTCATAACAATATTTGCTCACCTTTCTTTGTGTTCATCTTGACTGTGACTCTTAGTTGTGCTTGTAGTTTCTTGTCGATCTCTACTTCCTAAAAAAGAAGTTAAAGGAATCGTTTAACAATGTTGAATTTGAGATGCACGGCCCTACCTGTTATCAGTGTCTGTGATATGGTGTAATATTGAGGAGCCTCAAAAAAGTAAAAACCTTTGAGTGACTGGTTTTACCATACTCATTTTCCCCAATAGACTGTAGTATTATAAAAAACTGTTAGGAAAACAAACAAAAATGAAATTTCGATTTCCAATTATAAATATCTCGATAATCAGACAGGCGATCGACTTGTAAAAGTCATGGGATTCTTGACTGACCTAAATGTTTATAATTATGATTGCAGCATGAGCTAAATCCAGGATTTTGTTTCAGAATCTGAGGCAATATTACAGAGTCACTTTAAAGAACAAGATTGGACCGTGAGCATCAGCAAAGTCTCCTACGAGGGATTTCTACCAAGAGGACTTTGTTGTAAATCAAGTACAGTGGAACATTATCAGAACATTATCGTGTACTGGAGTACAGCTAAAATTATCTATTTAAGATTGGTCAATGATAAATCAAGAATTGAACCACACAAATATATTTCACATCAGCCCAATGGTTTAGCATTTGGTTGGATTTTCAGCTTGCAGCTTGCAGCAAAGGATAGACATTAAAATACATCAAATGAAGTTCATTCTCCAAGGCAAGGCTTCAGACACAGGGGCTTTTTTGCTTCTAAATCCTACATAACATACTGTAAGGGGTTCATTTCAATTAATTTCAGAGCTCATGTTAATCAAATTCTTCATTTCACTGCATGAAAACACATACAAAAGGCTCAAAACCTACAGTTAACAACTTACATGTATTTATTCATACTGGTAGGCCTTGTGAATTTGATGTTTTGTGTTTTTCGTAACTCAAGATAGAAGGTGGACTCATTGAATTACGGCCTTTGTTGAAAACTTTAGATGCGAGCTTTAAAATGTCCCATTCTCAAGCAACATAAATCGGGACAAATAAGTTTTTCACTTACTTAAAGGGATCGTTTAAATGTTAAATCTGAGATACACGGTCCTACATGTTACCAGTATTTGTGATATGGTGTAATATTGAAGCCCTAAAAAAAAAATCGCGCTTCAAAATGATCTAGAAGTGCCTCGAAAAAGTAAAAATCTTTGAGTGACCGGTTTTACCATACTCGTTTTCCCCAATAGACTGTAGTGTTATGAAAACCGTTCAGTGAACGGTTTTCAAAATTTGTAATTCCAATCATTAATATCTTGATAATCAGACAGGCGATCGGCTTGTAAAAGTCATGGAGTTCCTGACTGACCTAAAGGTTTACAATTATCATTGCAGCATGAGCTAAATCAAGGATTATTTCTAAAGGATCTAAGACAAAGTTACCGGATCCCTTTAAAGCATTAAAATACTTGGCAAGGATATGAATAGTTCAGTTGTTAATTGTAATTCTTCCAGCAACTTGAACAAACACAGACACAAAGCTATATTCACAACGAAGCAGTACAAGGGCAAAGAGTTTGAAATGGTTTAATACCTTGTAGAGTCCAACATTGACATGGGAGCCACGCCCCTTTGCTACCGGTCTGTCTACCACCACACCCTCTCTGTAAGCTATCTCCTCATCGGCTCGTACATGATGGGGGCAGTCCAGGGGGTTCAGTAAACCTAGATAATTAGGAGAGGAATAATAAATTAATAATTATAGTCATTTCTATAGCGCCGTCTATTTAGAAATTCTATTCTGATGCGTATTAATTATTACCCTGGCTTTAGCCTAGCTGCCATTACACTCTAGCATTTCAAGGAATAGACCAGTTCACGGTTAGCACATTACTGCAATGACCCCGAATATCCACAGATCTTCAAAACATGAAGAGGTCCCACTTTGTACATGGTGAAATAATCATTCCTACAGCGATGAAGGTGCTATATAACATAGCCTTTGTTTTCCCCTTTGAAAGAATACTTCCACCTGTGTATCATGGATTGCACTGAATGTGCAAGAATGAATAACGATTACATAACTTTCATGAGCACGTATCCAGTATTTCGTCTCCGTGTATTTCACAATTTGTTCTGCAATGACCTTGATCTGCTCATGCTCAGACTGCAACCGTGAACTCGCTTATTAATTCCTGCAAGGTACCCATTTACCTCACCTGGGTAGAGTGTGGCAAATGAAGGCTAATGCCTTGCTAATGCCTTGCCAAATGACATTAGTGCCGTGTTGGGTATCGAACCACGGCCTTTGAGGAAGCATATTGTAGATTTTCAACTCATCAACCTGTTATAGCTACACCCTTTAATTACCATGCTGTCTGGCACAACACCCCCCCCCCCCCCTTCAAAGTAGGAAAGTCCACCTTAGCTAGTATTAATAAAAACAAAAAAAACAAAGGAAACAAACTAGTGAAAGATTGAGCAATATCCAACTAAAATAGGAAAGTTATGAATATTTATTGCTTGATAACAAGCAATAGAATGTCTTTCATTAGGTTCTATACAACACATCAACATGGCAGGAAGCATCTTACAAAATGAATAATAAAAAAAAACTTATTCTATGTTCAATTGTCAGTATCAAATTGGAGGAGCTTTAGAGGCGTGTTCTGGGGAGATAATGAGGTTAAGTATTCCATACATACCTGCATACTGTAAGTCATTATGTTTCGGGAAGAAGCTTTTCCTCAAATACCTGCATGAAAGAAAATCAATACCGGTAATCTTTCATATAACCGGGGAAATCTATCTCATCACATCGACTGACTACCGGTATGTTAAGTTTAACAACTAAATTATTCATACAATTACCATGCTTTGTAATTTTTCAAGTATGTGAAAAATTGATTTGTTCCGATTAACGTTTCTTGAGAATATGGCATATTAAATCTTACATCTAAAAGTGTTCAACAAAGGCCCAAATTCAACCAGTCCACCTTTCATTTTTGAGTAATGAAAAATAAAAAACATCAAATTTACGAGGGATATGAATAGTTCTGATGACACAATCATCGTTATAACTAAAATTTAACAAGAATGAGGTTCAGCAGCGATGTAGGTTGTTTCTTCTTTATTTCATGATTTCTATTACTAATGAGGAATGTCATATTACAACACAACATAGAGAGAATGCAAGGATATACATGAAATCAGAAAGTGTTCTTGTTTATGCCATAAGTCGGTATTTAAAAAGGGAATTTGTTAAGACTGATAAATGAGTTTCTAGTAAACACCACTTGTAACTTACTGAGGGCATTCCAGATATTGTAGGATCCTTGCCAGTTGAACATTGGCGTTCCCCTTCTTGCCAATACCACTGTAGACTCCATCTGTGTTGTCTCTGGAAAGAAAAATATATTGAAAGCAAAATTTTGAAAAATAAATTACTATTACTTCATACTTAATCTCGGTGATATACCTCATGGAGGGAGATAGGGTGCATTTTTACAGTTTCATGACACTGTCATAATCAAACAGCAGCCTCGTAGTATAGCCTTTGCCCGGTACTGCAGATGGGGACAGGTTCAGATCCTGGTGCTTTTAAAATGACTAGACCATAGGTGTGGTCTCTGACAAGGGGAAAATAAAACTTGTTTGTTATACAGTCACCTCCAAGCAAACAGAGATGCTGCATACCTGCCAATATTTGAAAATAAGAATTAGGAATTTTTAGCATGGTATGCTTTCGAAATAAGAAATCACACTTGCAGCGGCAGTGTAACTGGCAAATACGCGGTAAATCTGTACCAAAAAGCGAATACAAATTCGCTGCTTGATCATACAGCCATTCAACACAAACAATATGTGAACTCTCAAACCGTGGCACATGTTAAAACAAGCTTAATTTCGCTTTAGCACCTTTAAAAAAATTATTTAAAAAAAAAAAAAATTATTAAAAAAAAAAATGAAATTTTGAAAAAACAGAATATTTCGGATTTTCAGGTCCTAGAATTCCAGAGAAACGGAAGATGCTGTGGATACGTCATCGGACTGTGGATTACATGGTTTGCAGTTTGTGCCCCTTGGCGGCACTAATATCCTTTGGCAAGACATTAATCTACATTTGACACTCTCCACCCAAGTGAAGTACGTGGGGATGAGATAGAAAGAAATTTCTTGAATGCTTTAGCACCTTATTGTGACAGCTCAGCTTAATAGCCAGGGTAATAATATGATACTTTGTATATAATTAAGCGCAGTGGAGTATATTCATATACTAGCTGGGACATATAAATGGACCTATGAATATTAAACATTCCATTTGTTTCCTGACTCACCTAGCAGCAGCACCGGACTCATCAAAGATGATTATCTCATCAATGTTGAATATCACTAGAGCTCTGGCAATCTGGAATAGTAGAGAGGGAGAGGACATTATCTAAATAATCAAACAAATAATAGTTGTCATCCTTGAGTACCTATTTTAACTAGAGGGGCCGGGGGAGGGAAGGAGCCCTGTAGAAAAAAAAAGAGTAATTTCCAATAACTTTTATGTCGTCTGTTTGGAGCTGCAAGGTCATTCACTCTGTGTAAAATGATATGAATTTGATACCCTTCTGGCTTCAAAGAAACAATATGTTACGTAAATGTCAGCGACAAAGAACTTTCATCAAAGTGTACATGGTTGAAATCTTTGTATCACTAATATAATCTCTAATAGGTTACAGGTATGCATTCATATAATATTGACTGGCCTTGAGGGAGGTTCCAGGAAATATTGCCCTTACTGAAATCAAATTGACTGAAGATGAGGTCAATATGATTTCAGTAAGGGCAACATATCCTTGTATCTCGTTGAAAGATAAGCCAGTCAATATTATAATCATTATCTATCTCTTTTTGAATCAGTAAAAGATACTGTATGTTTACCCTGCTACTGCGTCGCGGCGTTTCAGCTGCTTGGAAGTTCCCGGATGTTAAATGGGGCAAATCTATGTTGGGCTTAATATGGACAGCAATTTCTGTACCTAAAGTCAATGACGAAACCCTGAAGAGTGAAAATATCAGGAAATATTGCCCGCTTGGAACTGCTAGTTTGCGGATAGGGCAAAATATGCAACTTAATTGCATGGTAAAATTGAAGATTGGTTGGTTGGTTGGTTTGTCTTACCTGACTGTTTAAAAAGCAAGTGTATGCTTGTCAGTAAGCAACCAGGGGACTGACAGCTTTAAGTCCTCTCTGAGGGACTTGATAATGCGGATTAATGCCTTACCAAAGGGCCCTAGTGTATCAAATTGGTTAAGAACCTGGGACCTCCCAGTTTCGAGACCACTGCTCTACCACTGTGTTAATCAAATTGATTATTACCTTGTATAGGTAATAATGAATTTTGTAGTATTGAGTTGGTACCTTACCTGACCTGCCAAGTATGTTCTAAGCTCTGGTGACTGTGCATTATCTAGTATGGATCCAGGAAGAGCAATAGACAGTGTCCATGGTCGGCCTGAAATTAAATTAACAACAAAATCTGAACATAAAAACAAGTCTGGAAAAGAAATACAATAGATTTTATACCTCATAGATGTAATACGGATGTATGGTATACAGGACTCCACAGTAACATTTTTTAAGGGGGTCCGGATTTAACTTTTGATGGGCTGTATGCATGACCCCTATGTAAAAGTGTCCACATTTTGGGAGTTCTGACTTAGATTTTGTGTGCCATGTGTCCTGGGAGCCTTTTATTGTCAAGCCCTGGATATAAGCCGAGAAAGTTTTAATTTATAAAATAATAATAATTAGATCAATCTATATAGCACAGCTACTATATAAATAAACTATGCTGTGTTTAAAACAAAACTCTTACCATGCAGTGCTACTTTACAAACACATAATAAAAACATTTTTAAAAACTATTCAAAAGTGCCTGAAAACAACTGCATCTTCAACAAAACTCTGAAGACTGCAACAGATGAGGCTTTTCTTATGTCTAGTGGTAGGTTATTGCTGAAAAAAGGTCATATAATACATACAACATATGTTGCACAAACAATATTACAGTACGACATCATACTATCTATCAAGCCACTTATAGACTAGAAACATATGCAAGCAAGATGTTGTTCGAGTTGCTTATGAACAATGCACTTGATTTTTCAGCTTCCTATGTCAAATCAATATCAATCAATCCCAGTGCGACTTTCCATCTATCAATCAGTGAATAAAACAAATTACTAGCTTACCATATTCCGCCAACTCATTTTCCTCCTTTTCGTTAGACAACATTTCTTCCTTTTCCTGCATTTGTTGCTCAGCTAGTTGAATCAATTTCTCTTCACGCTTTTTCTTCTTTCGCTCCTTGACTGAATGCACACAAAAAAAACAAGGAACACTTATATTTCCAGTCATTTTAGATCATACGGACCCAATCCTAGCACATAATCCCAGGTTCCTTTTCTCAACACTTAGTACAGAACGAAAAATAAAGAAAATAAATGCTGGGCTTTTGGTTAATAGCAGACGCCATGTTGAATCTCATCTCAAATCAGTCTTGTATCAAGACTTCCACGTCAAACATATTTACATCTTGTGACAGTGAACAAGTCTACAAAAATATGTGAAAATGCTCATCTACATTACAAACAGCTAGGTGAGTACAGTGTTATACCAACAAGTACTACACTGTACCTACAGTTCCGAAACTTATAAATCTACAAACGATGGAACAGATTCTTGTGTGTTTGCTACTCCCTTTTTCATGAGCAGAAGTAAAATGTACTTCAATGTTTTCCAAAATAATTACCATCTTTCTTCCAGTCCTTCCATTCAAGAGCCTGCAATGAAAGGAAACGCATAAAAGTGAGAAAAAAATTCTTCCTTTTAAATATATTCTCTTACAGCAATTTCATTTACTTTACATAACAGTCACATAGTTTTTTTAATACATTAACAACCAATTTCTTTTTAGAAAGTGTGTAAATGTGAAAGCTCTCTCTATTCTTTGGCTCGTTGAAATAAAACTGCAACCTATATGAGGTTTATTCCTACATAGGAACAACATCAATTACCTTCTGCCAGACATTTTTTTTAATGAAATGGTTCTTCAAGCACCCCCCCCCCCCCATTTACATCACTTTATCCCTGACTACACTTTTTTAACTCCTCCTGCCCCTAATCCTCCAATCTATACCAAATTTCACATGGAATAGATCTTGAAGAAAAAAAAAATATGATTCCTGATAGAAATATACAAATTGGAGAGAAATAGCTTGCCAGTCATGCAAAGTGGCATAATAATTTTTACCTGTTCCGATAGATGGTTAGAGTGAGCTTTCGGATCTGGAATATTAAGATAGATTCTGTGCTCTCCGATCAACTCCTTTTGCTCCAATTGATTCTTGATTTTCTTGGATGTCTCTCGTCGATGCCACAGGGTGTCACTGGGAATCTGTCAAAATGAAGCAATACATAATTCGGTCCATCTAGATAATTTCTCATCCGCATGAATATTAATTTGCGATTATTTGAGGAAAATACCGGTATGACAAATCTAGAAAAGCTAAGAAAATACACACAACATAGCATGCATGTTTAAATCACGTCTAAATTATTAATTTATGGATGTAGTAGGTATATATACCAGTACCTATTTTACAAATCAGTTAGTTAAAATATAAAAGTAAAAATAGCATTTAATATCCATACATATTTCAAAGTAGAAAAAAATGTTACCTTGAATTCGGGGAAAACCCACACATTGTGCATGAGAATTACTGATGTGCAACCAAACTTCTTACTATTAGCAGATTTCTTTCCTCCTTCAATATCTTCAGACTGCGAATGAAATTAAAATGTACACAAGTATATCAATTAAATTAAATTTTGAAATGAATTCCATACTAAAAGTGGCATCAAGCAAATCTTTATTCAAAACATTTGTTTGAGCTCGAAGTGAACTTTATGCACAATTTGTATATACATGTATGAAGGAAAAATGGAATGCAAATTATTAGTTGTCTTTACTCTTATCTTATGCTGAAAGTCTTTCAAACAGCTCCAATTAATGATAACTAGGCTAACAAAGGTCTGAGAGTCTATAGCCTACAGGGCAATTCCACGGTAACGGAAGGACACTCAGACAAGATTTTTGAACTTCAGGTTCATACTAAAAGAACTGTTTTATTAGTATAAGATGTGAAACAGTACAGATATAATACCTATATAAGTGCCTTTAATTCTCCCCAAAAAAATTGTCATTATAGTTAAGTAGTTTAAGAATGTGCATATTAATTATCTCGGTAACGGAAGGACATAAAAATGGACATGGTTTTTCCAGTTAATTAGTGTTTATCCAAACTTTGTGAAGTTGATGAAGCTTTCCACTTGACTGAAACACATTTTGTTCCCCATAGTTTAATACATACTAATAAAACATTTCTTTTAGTATGAACCTGAAGTTCAAAAATCTTGTCTGAGTGTCCTTCCGTTACCGTGGAATTGCCCTACACAGAAGCAAGCACTTTACAGTTTGTAAGTTGCAACCTAAATATCAATATCTAAAAGATTAAAAAAATAATATAGTATTAATGACTGCTTTGAGAGAAATAGTTGTTTTTATACGCTCAAGGGAAGGTTAGAATTGTGCTATTACCCGAGGCGTGCCGAGGGGAATAGCCCAATTGTAACCTTCCCGAGAGCGTATACAACAACTATTTCTCGAATATTAAAGCAGTCATTAATACTTTTATATGCAAAAAAAAAAAAAAAAAAAAAAAAAAAAACTTTTGTCGAAGATGGGATTCGAACCCTTGCGTATCAAGGGTGATGTAACTTAAGTTGGCGCATTAAACCTCTCGGCCAGCGCGCTCTGTCACCATGCACAGTAGTTTTCTTTAATATATATACATTAAAATGAATTGAAAACGGCTTCGCGTGGTCGATGCTTCGGCGCTGCTCCATTAAACGGGCCCTTCTTTTACTTTTGCAATGCAGATTGGCACAAACTTAGATCAAGATCTATCGGCAGATGTTATTTTTTGTTTTTGGAAGTTTATTTTCGTCTTCATGTCAACAATGCAAGATAAAATTGTCGGTAAGATCGATCGAGATTCAATTGTATTGAAATTACCGACCAATTCTTCGCACACGTACGGTATCCTCGATCGCTCAGACCATTTTTTAACATGTAAACCTATGGGGTAACCATGGAGACTGAACTATTTTCCCAATAACCATGGTTATTGGGATTTTGAACTGTTTTTTAACCATGGTTACCGGAAATTTTCGGGAACAGTTAAAGTTTATGAATACAATTTCGACCAATCAGATTGCTGGATTACTTAAGTGAGGTATATAAACAAATATATCAATCAAAGAAACTTTATATTAAGAAATCAATAACATTAATAAAAATTAAAGTCATTTAATTGAACAAAATTATGGTAAGTTTTTTACATTTCTAAGAAACTTTTTACAAAAACTGGACATTCTTATATAATTTTGCAATGAAATATCAATACCCTATATAAAACTGGGTGACACAGTAAAGCCTTTAATGTAAGGTTAATGATGGTATTGCATTTCTTTGTGCTAAAGTTACTTACCATTTTAGATTTCTTGATATCACACTTGCGTTTAGGTCCATGTTGACAGGTGAATTTCTTGAGACCTAGCATGACATGAGGAATGCCATTCAGAGGTAATTCCTCAAACATCACTTTGTGTCTCAGTACCTCCTCAGCATCTGATGAAATGAATTCAAGATTAGAATCAGTGGAAAGATTATGCATGGTATTCTCTTGATCGCTATTGATATAAAACCTTTGTTGTTCAAATGCTAGGTACTTACAAAGGAAAGACACAATAAACTTGCACTTGTCCCTTCTAAAGGTCGTTCAATTTACAACTATGGTATGACTGTCAACTGCATGGGTGTACATCATAATATACGCGACACTAGTCATTCCTGGCTCTGCATTACTGTGTTGTCCACGACTACTTAAGTTGCACAGCTAATTCAAACATTTCTACAAAGTACAAACCAACTAGACTTTAATTTATGTAGGCCTACTTATATGTAACTTGTGGAATCATCATAACATAGGTAGGCACATTCATGGGGCACTAGAGGGCGCTTTGCGCGCGTACGAAAATCTGAATGGCCTTGCTGCGGTGGGTCGGCAATAATCAGCCCAAAACTTGGATATGGGAGTGTGGAAGGATATATCTTTTTTTTAATGTTATCTGGTCTTACCCTTAACCATCCTATGTTTAATCTATGTAGAAATAACATGCGAGTACGATAAGAGAAACATCGGGCCCATTACTGATGCAACTTTTAAAATATTAGCCTAGAAATGACCACCAAACGGAAAAAATTGACATTTTTTTCTCGACAAATCTTCATAAAATCTGATTTATAAACAAGTCACATCTAGGTACACTAATACAAATACGATTTTCTGAAAATTCAGGTATTATTTTTTAAGTTTCTTTCAAGTATATTTATGCGCATTGCAGCGCCAATGTTCTTCACTGCTTCAAAATCACCCTTGAATTTTTTTTTTTGCAACAAATGTGTTACGAGGTCCGCGAGTGTTCCCCGTTCCTTGCGTGTTGAAAGTTTGGTAATACATAGTTTACATTGACTCGCGCACGAAAAAATGGTCGAAAACAAAATGTCAAATGAAGAAATAAACAAGCTTTTGTATAGTTATAAGAGTTCTACCGAGGTTTCTTTGTCGATTTAATTTATTATATAGTCTCAATTAGAATTCAGAATTATCTCACTGAAAAGTTAAGAAACCGACGATGTTCTCGATCGTAGTTATTTTCATTTTGCCAGCAGCCGATCTAGCGTTGTTTGGGCAAAAAGCTAGGCCGCTGCCTTCCCATCGCAAACCTTTCCGAGTCCCGCTAAAACAGCGCGCTGCGGAGCTCCGAAGCTTTGTTGGTATCGCTGCAAACTCTCAGCCGGCTAGCTCCCCACGACGGACCATTCGCGGTATGGCGAGAGTGTGTGTGTGAGGTACGATTTGGATTCGAGAACGCACGTAATGCAACCGTGCGCGTCATATTCAGCTGTCGAATGTCTACGACCAATTTTACATGTACGATTTTTAGTACAGATACTTGGTCAGTTTTCTTCTTATATCTTTGGTTTTACAACATTTAAAAATATAATTTCTTCAAATTTGCTCCTGACTCGGTTCAGACTAATTGTGTGATGTGTTTTCAAGTCAATTTTTTGAATATATTTTTTTGCATGAATTTGCCTAACATAGGAATCTAAGTTGTAACCATGATTCATGAAGATATCTATGGAAAGATTATTTGTAACTTAAGTTGCGCTTAAGTTAGGTAGGCCTTCTCTCACTAAAATTCAAAGCCACTCAAGCGGATCGGCTCACTGTACAGCGCTCAATGTGCAAACTTCTTCGTGCTCTGCGGGTTTCGGGTTCCAAAACCGCGCACTCGAGATGCGAAAAACGGATTCCGGGTAAGAAAATAACCCCAGTTCACTGTCTACTTTTATGGTTTGTCCGTCTTTCCAAGGATTTATCGCTCATTACGTGACAGTCCTTGTACAAAGTCAATTTAAAATGCATCAAGAAAAATCATTGCGGAATCCGTTTTTTCGCATCGCCACCACGTATCTGCGAAAATGTGGACGATCCTTATTTTTGCAGACTCGTCTTTCCATGTTTACGAAGACAATCCTACCTCATTTATGCGGACGATCCCCATTCTCGGACCAGCGCCCCTCATCATCATGTTCGTCATCATCATCATCATCATCATCATTTACTAACTAATAATTGTTATTAATATCATAATTTTCACCAGCATCACGTAAATATAAACGAATGGGACCACACTCAGAAATTTACCGTGGGGTGGCATTCCAAACTCTCCCTGTTGACAGTAGTTTTGCTGGACTGTGACAGCAAATTTTGCATCTGATTCCTTCTCATAGTCCTTTATAACTTTTATGGCGCTAGTCAGATTAGATTCATGTAAGAAACGTGCCATTTTTTATAAGAAATTGTAATAGTTTTCCAGCACCGCAGCAGTCGACAAGCATGCACTCTCTGCTTAATCGATTATCACGAACCATATCGATAATAAATTAACTTTAAAACAGGATTTTGTTGGTGTTTTAATATTTAATATCACATTTTAGATTAAAATTCTACATTAGTAAAATAGAAATTAATTATTTAGACTACTTTAAAAAATTGAATATAAAAACATAGGTAAATCATCGTACTATTTGAAATATTACGAAAGCATATTACCCAAGTTTCACAATGTAGTCTAGACCAGTTATCAATAATGCGATGCATATTCTATATGTAGGCATTACGATACTTGTGCGGAAGGTTCAAGATGGCTCATCAGTTTGTCCTTTTGGTTTTACTTTGACTCTTAGAGTCTTGCTTTGATTAGGGAGTGCAGCCTGATAGATTTGAACTGTTTTTGTCTTGGGTAAGACCTAGAGCAAGCCTACATTTATTTATAACTGTCAGAGTTAAACAAAATTAAACCTCAGGCTCAGCTCAGTGAGTCGGTCTCATCTCAGTCTCACTCATCTGCTCATTATCATCATCACTCATTCACTGCACTGATCTTTTCTTGGTCTCTCAGTCTCACTCTCACACACACTCTCAGCTCACAACATATCTCAATCTCATTCTTTCTGTTCAGACAATTATTGTCTAGATCTAGGCCTATTGACATGTTCTCTTAGAGTCAGACTCAGTCTCGGGATCATTTCTTGTTTTTTTCTTTCATAAATGACAGTAACTTAGTCAGTGACAACACTAACTCCGGGAAGCTCCGACGGCATCGGCGTCGGAGCTTCCCAGAGTCATAACAACACATGTCTAATTTGGTCTAGACACAGCTCTTTTGGTGCTAAATCAGTAATCTTGTATTCATTCTTGTATTGTAATTTATTATTTAGACGTGCGTCCGATACGGTTAGATTGTGTAACCGGACAGTTGATTTAAAACAGTAATTTGAAGAAGTTTGCATTCAATATTTCATAAATCTTTTAAAGCCAAGGCCAAGGGGAAGTCCAACCAGATATTGAGTTGGTTTTTACAAAAGCAGAAAAATGAGAAGAGAATAATTGGTGACAGTTTGAGCATGCAATATGATCTGATTAGAGTAAGAAATTCTTTACCTTTACGCAAATACTGGAAGAATGAATGCTGATCATATTTAAACAAAGATTGGCAACTCTTTGATGTACAGTTATCTTATTAGCTCCCATTTGCTCTGTACACATCGAGATTATTGGGTATAAAATTGTTAGCGTCACTTTGTTTAGGTCTATTTGATAAACATGAGTTTTTGGCTTACCTATAAACCACATAGACCTACATCCATGACTCGTTTTATTTTTAATTTGAAAGAAGAAACAAAAATTAGGATAAGGGAAATAAATTCTTTCTCTGACTCGGACTTGGTTTGAATGCCTCTCCAATAGATATTATAATAAAGACTAAAATTAGAAGGATAACTAATTTGAAATGTATGTTTTTATGGTCTAGTTACTTTCTACTATAAACTTACTTTCTACCCCAACAAATTCTTAACAGTACTTCTTTTTGCCAAATATTGACACACATCACCTTTTCTAATTTTCTTTTTTGAAACAAGAATTGGATGTGAAGACCACAATCAACGATGCCCAAGGCAAAGTCCAAGAGTTCACAGAAACGGATGAAAACTAGGATGAGTAAAGGAGATGGAGCTGTCTCATCAGAGGACAGAGCTCACCAGAGTGAGGAGATAACAGGAGAGGACTACATCAGCCAACTCTCGTTGGAACTGCTTGAGAAGATCTTTCATTATCTACCCCTGAGGACCATCTTTTCCTGCGAGAGGTTGAACCATCATTTCCAGCTGGCCGTGCATTCGTACCTCAAGGTGGTGAAGGAGATCAACCTCACGGAACACATGTGGCATGGATACGTCCCCAAGGGATTCACCCTGTCCGCTTTCACGAAGATCCTGAAGCGGTGCCCCAAGTTGGAAGTCATCCAAGGACTGCACATCTATCCAGAAAATGCAGGGTTTCATCCCTATCTGAACAGGTCAGATCAGATGACCCAGGGTATCGTCAAGGAGTTAAAGCGATGCGGCAACCTACGGCAGGTGGAGATATCCAGTCTGGACCTCGCGGATTCCCTCGTGGACGAGATGCCAGAGCTGGACTTGGGACACTTCTCCAACAGGGGTGGTTGCTTTGACGCAGACTGCAGGCCGTACTTCACTCTCGTTCCCGGCTACCACATCCGGAAACTGCATCTGACCGGAGTGACGCTTCCAGAGCTGCCAGAGACGCCACACGTGCAAGAGGTGGTCTTGGAATGGGTGGAACTCACCAGTTCTCAACCTTTCCAGAATTTCATCTGTCCAGGACTCAGATCATTTGTGATGAGGAACTGCTTTGGGCCCCTGAATGCTCTCAAGTATGTGGCTCTTATCGACAATCTGGCCAGATGCCTGAACCTGGAGAGGTTGGAATTGGTTCGTGTTCCGTTCCTCGGTGGGCTGATACAACATAAAGTGGAGGAATCTGCACAGGTAGGTTTGACATTTTACATTTTCCTTCAGGATGCATGAACTCCTGCATATTTGATACATATTCACATGTGTCCTAAAATCACATTTATATTGTAAGAAACTGTTGATTGCACGGCTTTCTATGAAAGAGTGCAACAATTTTTTGTGTGGATTGTCTTAGGGGGTTCAAAATTAAGAATAACACAGGCGACTTTAATTCAGTATGCGAATCAAAAAGTTTATAGATATACATGTATCTAGTGTAATGTCTGTTCATAAGATTTTTCATTCTTTACATTATCCCTGATTACCATACACAGGAAAAAAGTAGATTTTAGCACATTACTGATTTACAATTTAGGAATCAATATATCCATGTTTTACAGTTTTTTAAATATTTTTTGAGTAGATCATATTTCATATTTTCACCACCCTCTCATCATTATAATATTCTTTTCCTTTCCGTCTTGTGTAGGAGTGTACTCATGGTTTTCACAATCTGAAAACAATCCTCATCAGCAAGTGCAAGAATATCTCCATGTATTATGTTTCTAAGATTTTTGTTTTAGTAGATCATATTTTCACAACCCTCTTACCGATGTAACACTCTTTTCCTTTCTCACTTGTGTAGGAGTGTACTCATGATTTTCGCAATCTAAAAAAACATTGATTCTTTACATCCCTGATTACCAACCACAGGAAAAAGTAAATCATTTCATTACTGATTTATAATCTAGGAATGAACATCTCCATGTATTATGATTCTTTAAAGATTTTTTGAGTAGATCATATATTCACAACCCTCTCACTATTTTAACATTCTTTTCCTTTCCCACCTTGTGTAGGAGTGTACTCATGGTTTTCGCAATCTGAAAACAGTCCTCATCAGCAAGTGCAAGAATATCTCCAAGTATTATGTTTTTTTAGATTTGTGTTTTTAGTAGATTTTATTTTCACCACGCCTCTCACTATTGTAACACTCTTTTCCTTTCCCACTTGCGTAGGAGTGTACTCATGGTTTTCGCAATCTGAAAACGGTCCTCATCAGCGGGTGCAAGAACTGCACGGAGCAGGACCTGGGCCATCTCCTGCTGGCTGCCTACAAGACTCTGGAGAGCCTCAGTCTACAGCCCTGCCTGACCAGGGACAGTCTCTTCCTGGCGCTCAAAGCCATCGAGAGCAAGTTTTACAATGTCAAGCATCTTCATCTGGGCTATGTAGATCCCTGGTCAAACTCAGGTAGGCCGGCATCCACTTTCTTATCTGTAAAGCTGACTGCAATTCCTACAGTCTAAATACTATACAACCAGAACCTTTCATGGGCTTACTTCAAATCATCAGGTGATCGCGTTGGGTCGGGTGGTCGCATTACCCATCTTTTTGTGAAAACGTGCCCCTTCATTCACAAAATATATGGGGCTAGTGTTTGTGAAATAAACTCCTCTCATCTACAAATGGTCTGGTCTAATTTACCTGACACTTTGTGAAAACTCACGGCAAATATGATTTAAAGTAAGCCACTTTTATGAATTACAAACATTGGCAAATTTTCATGATATCAAATCTCAATTGAGGTTTTTACCCCAAGTCTTGTGATATATTTGATCTAAAGGTGTGTCATGAGCACAAAAACTTGAAAAGGTTTTTTTTTCTTTGTTGTGGAATAATGTTGATCACAATTAAAACAACATAAATGTGACAAATTATTTCATCTATTGATAATCAACCGTGGTTTATGTGACGTTCTCGATTCCAGGGAAGTACTCTTCGACAGACCTGGTAAGCAAAGGTCTGGCTGAGATCAATGAAAACCCTGCTCTGATGACTGACATGGGTATGAAGGCCATGGGCCAGGTCTTTCCTAATCTCACCGCCCTCACCGTCTACAACTGCCCTCATCTCAGATACCCTCGAGGATGGCTGGATGTTGGTAAGCCATCCCCCCATATTTTATTGATTTCTGTTTACCAAGGCCAATATTCATAATGACCTTACAAAGTTAGTTGTTTTAAACTAATTACGTTGGGTTATCTAGTATGTAGTATGTATGTGGTTGAAAACTAGGTGTAGTCAGGTTTTTATGAATATAAACCTTGTCTAGATCTGTTTCTTTCTTTCTCTCTCTCTCGTTCTCTCTCTTTCTCTTTATCACCCTTTCTCTCTCTCTCTTTATCTCACTCTTTATCTCCCTTTTTCTTTCTCTCTTTATCGCCCTTTCCCTCTCTTTCTCTCTCTATCCCTCTCTCATTTCTGTCCACTTACTTATGATCCATATCTTGTGTATAGATCTTATGTCTATTGACCAGGCATTCTAGCCATCATTCTACTCTTCATCACAAGCATTTATTACATGCTTCTAAAATTCTTGAGTACAGATATTCGGATTTTAGGCAACATTGTATAGAGAAAATAGCCAATAATACTTGTTTCATGATATTTAAGATCCAAATATCCAGATATCTTTCAGGAAAAGATATTCAGAGATGTACATGTACAAATTCTTCTTCAATGAGGGGTGATT